AATAAGTTAAGGAAGAGAGGTAAGATTTAGATGAAGTATGAGGGATATTGTAATCCTAGGCTTGTTTGATTTGTTGTTTACCCAATTATCTTGCTACTTTAATTTTTAATTAAATTAGTTTTAGTTGTGTAATTTTTAGTTCAATTAGAATTCAGATTTTAATTATTTGAATAAAACTAAATTGTTCTAATGTTAGTACTTAGTAAAATTTAGATCAATTCCCTATAGGATTGATACTCTGCTTGCTAATATACAATCTATTCGATATGTATACTTGCATAGTAAAATTTTAACTGACAGTATTTTATTTCCCTACTCGTATTTTTTCAAAAAGAGAAGTTGTAGCAATATTATATGAAAATTAAAACTAGAGTCACTTTCCCATAATTTATATAATAGTTTGCGAACTACCTTCCTTTTCAAATAATATCTTTAAAAAATAAAAACATACATTCGACTAGTAGATTCCAAAACTTACAAAGCCATCATAAGGTGGTAATTTGGTGTAAGATGTGTGTCGATTGTATCATCCTTATTTCCACATTATGATGGCACCATTGTTTCTTTTCTTATTCCAATATTTTGTTTGTCAAGTTGATGTAAAGCTATTTGTATGATCATAAATAGGGATTGTCATGTTGTGATACTTGTCTTAAAATGATGATGTAATCCATGATACATTATCGATTACTTGTTATTCTTCTAATTATTTATGGAGTTAACGACTTCTATCAAAAGAGAAAACATTAAACAATCTATTTGTATTTCATTTGGAATATGAACAATCATTTTTAAGAGAATATCTCATCCCTTCCGTAACTCTTGACCTTCTCTTCTTTTTCCCACAATGTGAAATAAATCAATGGCTTTATTTGCATTCTTTTTTGTTTTTTGCATACGGCAAGGTTTATTATTAATCATAATATTTCAATTATGTATACAATTTTTCTTTTCAATAATAAAATTTTCTTATAAGGGGTAAATTAGATTATAGTTGCATTTGGTGTATTGTTGAGAATGTGATTGCTGGGTGTATGATTACTAAGAATGTAATTGCTGAGAATATAACTTTATAGTGTTTTGTATAACAAGTAAAAGTGATGATGGTAGGGAATATGATTGTTGAGAGGATTACATAGTAGTGTTTAGTTTGTAAGTATTTTATTATGAATGTAATATAAATTGACAAAATTACCCTTATATTTAAAAACATATAAGTTGAATAAATTCATAATTTTTAATATAAAATTTGACTTTTCAACTTTAAGTAATTACAATAATAAATAAAAACATTAAAACATAATATAATATTTTTATATTAATTATTTAAATATTAAAATATGTAAAATTACTAAATATTTATTTTCACCTTTAACTTATAAAAATAAAAAATAAAAAACATTATTCAAAGACCAATCTATTGATAGATAAAAAATTCTATCGATAGATCGCATTATTTATCAATAGATAAATAGCCACTGTTAAAAGTTTAAACGTAATCTATCGATAGATGTTCTCATCTATTGATATATATTCAATTTTAAGTTCTTTCTCTCATAATCGCGACATCAAACATCTTTCCCTCTCAAATCCTCTCAATTTCTTAAATATTTATTTTTAATAAATTAGTTAAATTTTAAATAATTAAATTATTTCATAAAAATATTAGTTAATTAGTTAAATTGTCAAACAATCCATCACTTTCTTTCTTTCTTTTTTCTGTCATTTTTTTCTCTTATTTTTTCATGCACCCATCGTCCTTCCAATGGGCTTTTCTTTTTATTTTCCTTTTGCTCTCCTTCCTTGTTGCTCTATGGTTATGGACTGTTATTCTTCCTTCCTCCTTACTCTTTGTTGATGGACTATTCTTCTTTTCTTTTCTTTTTCTCCCCTTCTTCTTTACTCCCATCACCAGATTCAAATGGCGCCCCTCTCTCCTCCCAAAAAATTCAACTATTAGGGCTTGTTGGTGAGTGGCTAGGGTTCTATAGTTGGCAACAAGAAGAAGAAGAAGGAAAAGAAGAAGAAGAGTAAATAGAAAAAGATTGGGTAGACAATTTAAGGAAAAAAGTTATGTAACTTTCCTTTTACAAAGGGAAAGTTAATTTCCCTCTGTGAGAGAAAGGAATGACATTTCTTTTTCTCATTGTAATGATATTACAATGGAATCACCTTAACAACCACTTTCCCTAAACCAAACATTGTAAAGTAATTACACTTAATTAAATTACAAGAAATCTTCTTTACTTGCACTAAACCAAATGCACCTTAAGTGTTTTAGAGGTGTTTTAAGCATAGAAACGCCCAACAATGTTTCAAGCGTAAAAATGTTTAAAGACATTCTAAGTATAGAAATGCTTAAGGATGTTCCTAAGTGCGTAACACATAACGATAACAAAAAAATAATAAAAAAATAATAAATGTATAAATTTACAAAGCTATTCTTTATTCTTTAAATATATATAAACGTGTTGCCTTGCTTCTTCTATGTGCATCTTCTTCTTTCATGTATAAATATCTTCTTATTTTATGCATAAAACTCCTTATAAGAACTTGATGCAGGATAAAAATGTAAATGCTTAATTTTGACTAACTATTATTTCTTGAATCATTGTGTAACATAATAGGAGCAAGTGTGGAACAATTATAAAAACAAACATGGAACAACTATTTCACATGAGGAAGTAAAAGTAACTCAAAACGAGTGGTAGGGCTCATAAGTTATTTTCACGTTTAAGATGCTCTAGAGAGTTTGGCTTAGTGGTTCAAATATAAAGATAGTTAAAAAGACTTATTCTTAACATTTCCTTAAAATACTTGTGTCTTATTTTTTTTTCTTCCAATAAAGTGCACGAGGTGCACTATTAAATGTCACTACTCCACTACTTAAAACTTACGCCTACTACTTAACTACATGATCATTCTCTTAATATCTCATAAGCCATTTTTTAAGATGCTTTTCTATAACAAGCATGTTCTTTCATAATTGAATGTGTTCTCCCAACTACTCTTAAGAAAATGCACTTGTTCAATATAAATGTGAGAGCTTTGAAGGTTTGGGAGCAATTATAAGCAATTAAGAAATTTAGCAGAAATTATTCTAAAAACTCTTTCAAAGCTTTTCCAATTATTCTTTTTCTTAGCCCTTTCCATTCGTAGGACTCCACCTCTTTCTCCACCTTTTCTTTTTCTTCATCGATTGCTACCAAAGCACTTATACTTTAAGAATTGCTTTAGTATTTCTATCTGTTACCTCTAATGCAATCCACTTCACTTATTATAATATGTTCTTTCTCCTTACTAGAAGAACCCTTTACAATAGTAAATGAAAGCAAATGAATTTTGCAACCATAATCCTTACTATCATTACATGTTTGAAATTTGAAATTTTTGACATATAAGCTCTCAAAAAGATTTTTCAAAAAAGATTTTCAACTTTTTCTCTTGTTTGGAAAAGAAAAAACTTATTATGAATATAAAATGTTTTATAAGTTCATTGGAATAGCATAAAATGTCTTTAAATCGAAAGACGTAAAACATTTTGTGTTGTCTTTTCTTCTTGCCATGATCACTTGAAAAATATTATCCTCTTCTTCTTTTGAAATCGATCTACCAAAGCAATAAAATAATAAAGTGCCATTATTTTTTATCTTTATGTATTATTATTTTTCAACAAAACATTAAGTATTTTTATTTAATCATCCCATATGGATCATATCATTATACTTATTTTTACTAAGATACTAGAATTTTTAATATAATACAAAACAACTAAAATCAATTAAAAAAATTTATATAAAAAAGAAAATAAAATTTTCATTTATGAAAGTCTTTCCTTTCTTTTAATTTTTAATTTATGATTTATTGGCTTAAAAAATAATTAGTATAACAATATGATGAGAAATAAATAAATAAAGATGATTAAATATTATTATCATATAATATTTTCAATGTTGAAAAAATTGTTTTGGATGTGTTGCATAATTGATCAATGTTACTATTTTTATGATATTATGGTAAAAAATATTTTTTACAACATAATCCAAATAACTGAAAATAATTTTAACAATTTATTCAAATAATAAAAAAATTAAATTATACAATTAGTCCCTCTACTATAGCAAAGTGATGAATTTAATTCCTATATAATAATTTTGTTAAAATTGAGTTTTTATATTTTTTAAAATTGACAATATCAGTTCAATACGTTAAAATTTTTATGTTATCTTTATTGATATGACATTTTCTTACTGATGTGGTATTGAATATGATGATATGGTATTTTTGATCTATTTTACAATATTTTTTTAATATTTTAAATTATAGATCACAAAAATTCAATTCTTCTCTATCTTACAACACTATTCTTTTAAATTCTATAAACTTATTTATATTTTTTATCTATTTCTTTTCTAATTCTATTTAAAATCATTAGCTCACTTTCAATAATTCATGTTCGTACTTATAAAATTCATGTCAATGCTTAATCATATCATATGAGCATTATTATTACATCATTTGTGAAATGTCACATCATCATTATTTTATCATTAGATTAAATGTTACATCAAAATAACACGTCAATACAACAAAATGCCATATCAACATAAATAAAAAAAAACTTTCAACACATTGAACTAATATTATTAATTTTAAAAAATATAAAGACTTAATTTTCACAAAGTATTATATACAAACTAAATCCACTACTTTATTAAAATACATGAATTAATTGCATAATTTAACTAACAAAAAAATATTAAATTTTTCAGTAAAAGATTATAAAATAGATTTTCCTTTAGCAAACGGAGCGATGGTGGTAATTTATTTTTTTTTAAGCCTGAAAATTTGACTTGTTTGGTAGTACAAGCTAAAAAGTGAAAACAAATTTTCTTCGAGGGGTCATTCAACAAATAACCGTGTCTATAAGCCCTTCCGATTTAAAACCCCTTTTTTCCGTTTTCAAGTCTTCTGTTAGAATAAAACTCCTAAACCCTTCTTCTATCTCTCTCTCTTTCGCTTTACTCTTAAACCCTAGTGTTCAAAAGTTTTTCTCAAAAAAAGGAAAAAAAAGAATAATGGCAGAAACGAGTCAACTGATCCAGTACATTGAGTCGTTCGTTGATTCATCTCGTTCTCCTAGTCAGCAGGTTCACTTACTATTCCCTCAATTTCTTTAAGATTTCTATCAATTTTAATTTGAGCACAATTTTCTTTTCCTGAGAAGTTCGTTAATATGACAAAAAAAAAGGTAAATTTGAGCCTAAATTATAAAATAGTTTGTGAAAACCTATTTTGTTTTACTTAATTAAGCTCCGAATTTTGTGTTGAATAAATTCAATTCTTTTTTCATATAATTTTGAATGTACTGGAAGGTTTATGTTTATATATGCTATATAGGCTGCCAGTCTGGACGCCATTGCTTCATTGTTGAAGAATAATCAGTTAACGGTAGAAACACTGGTATGCTTCATTGTACTCAATTTGAAGAAAGGTTGCCCTTTCTATTTCTTTTTTTTTTTTTTTCTAATGGGCCTTTTACTTAGTTATTTGTGCATTTATTTTTTAGGTCAACTTTTTGGCTATGTGTAGCTTGCTTACTTCATCTTTTCTTTTACTTTTGAGATAATAGGTTAGAGAGATGGAGGGGTATTTGACCACTGCAGACAACATTATTCGTGCTAGAGGTAGTAAAATTCAACTGGTTGTGTTGCTGGTATTTTTGTTTTGTTCTGTTGATCGTTGTGGAGAATGCCTAGATTTAGTGCTCAATCTATTACTTCATGTCATAGCCTTAATTGCAAGCTACTTTTTTTTTTTTAAATATATTTCTCTTCTTTCCCCATATACATTAAGATTTTATTTGGAACATGTAAATAAACAAATGATGCTTGAACTTTTTTTTATTTGGTGTCCTTTTCCAGGTATTCTCCTTCTTGGTGAAGTTCTCATGCATCTTGCATCAAAGCCATTGGATGACGCTGCTATTCATAGCTTGATACAATTTTTCACAGATAGATTGGTGAGTTTGGCATTCGCAGTCAACAATATAGTTCACTTAAAACAAATGATGGCATGTTTGTCATAATTTTGGATCTACTAGTTACTTTTGATTTCAAAGCTTCATCATTATTTTTTCATCTCGTTAGAATTTGTTGTGGGCATTTTGAGTTCTAACCATTCCATGGCTAGATGCTCACTTGGTTAGACTACATTCTCTATTTGGATCCTAGCTCCATTGTGTACGTTAGAAGCCTTCTTTTTTTTTTTACCATTTCCTAGCACTTTCCATAAGTTAGGCAAAATTTGGTGCTACAAACTAGACTTGGGCTTTCTTTTTGTACATAATCACCATATTATGTATTACCTTCAAATTTTAGAATTAGATAGATGATAATTTTACTACATCAGGCAGATTGGAGAGCTTTACGGGGAGCACTTGTTGGCTGCTCGGCTCTGTTGAGGAGGAAAAGCAGTGGTGGTATTGTCAGTGAAACTGATGCAAAAGCAGTTGCAGAGTCATATTTACAGAATCTACAAGTGCAGTCTCTAGGAAAGTATGACCGAAAGGTAAAGATATAGTTGATATTCCTAATAATGCATGATCTTACACATACATGTATTTGAGTGCCTTCCACAAAATAGGTATCAGCCAGATTTTATTCTCTATATATAATATTATAAATTATTGTATATAAGAGTGTTGGTTGTTTCACTTTATCTTTTAAACGGATCTTCTTGCAGCTTTGCTTTGAACTTCTGCAATGTCTACTAGAACGCTACCCCAAAGCTGTTGCTTCACTGGTATTTTTTCTGGGCTTGTTTTCCTTCGCTGCATGCTTTATTGGACTGATTTTCTTCTGTTCTTTTATGTATTATTTTTCCATCCTATGGGTATATTATGGAATGAATTTAATGAAGAGTAAAGGAAAGTGATTCATGCAATCTCCTAGATCCTGCTCTGATTGTTTAATGTTTGGAACATATTCTGAATTTCTCTATTAAGACTAACGGGAAAAAAATTAAAAGCAAGAAGACTAGAAACTACCTGTTTCAAGATTGAAATCATTTTATTTCACCTAAAAAGTCAGTTGGAGTTAGTGTGTTTAAAATACCATGATACAACCATGGAGCTCATTTCGTTCTGTTAATAATTGATAGAAGTGCTTAGGATGATTGTTATAGATTATAGATGAGGTGCTTTGCATATTTTCAATGTCAGAGGGAGGTAATTCTGATTGGAAGAATGGAATTGCTCTAAATATGTGATGCACGCAAGGAATGAATGTGCTAATAGTACACAATTGTGATGCTTGGCACAAGGAATGGAGAATGAGAAAATATAGATTTTCTTTTTCTGCAAAGAAAGTGTGAAAATAAACTGCTGTGGTTCTCTCTTTCACTCTTTCTTTTGTGATCATAAAAACCAGCATCTGTGATCCCATCCACGCAAATTCATGCAGTATGAAGTCTTAAAAAGTTTGGCAAGTCTCAATTGTCATTGTCGTTTTTCTGTTATTAATAATCTGATTGCTGATTTGTGATCCAGGGTGATAACCTTATTTATGGAATCTGTGAAGCTGTTGATGGAGAAAAGGATCCTCACTGCTTGATGTTAATATTTCACATTATTGAGATTTTGCCGCAACTCTTCCCAGATCCTTTGGGCCCCTTTACCAGTTTTGCTCATGACCTTTTTGAGAATTTGAGCTATTACTTTCCGATTCATTTCACACATGTAAGCTTTATGCATGCCAATGTACTTTGCTATATTCAAATTAGCTGTCATAATCTATTTGGATACGAGTGTAGAAAACTGCATTATATATTTATGGTGATGAAATTTACACTGTCAATACAGGTTTTCCTAGGAACTAATGAGTAATGCATGTGTGGACTTTCCTTTTTGAACCTATGAATCAAAGATCAGTAATGGTTATTAATTGTATCTATTTATTAAAGATAAGTAGCCAACCTGCTATTGATTTTGCTAGCCCAGAGACCAATATATTTGATGTAATTGGTGTAGGAAGAAGTAAAGGCAATAAACTGATGATCTTTATTTAAGTAAAAAAGGTTCATGTTTTGATGTTTGTTTCTTTTTTTTTTTTTTAATTTTTAAATGCATACCATCCCTGATACCAATTTCAACCCTTGTAAAGCTGGAGTTCAGTTCTAAGCTTTTGAACCGACACTTTGTAAGACTTATGTAGCTTCACTGCTCTTTGTTTCTAGGATTTGTGGTTATTAGCTGCTGTTGCTGATGAATTTTTGAAATCAAAGTCAGAGTCTGACATTTGTTTTTTTGGCACTCTTAAAAACTTCATTATATCTCAATGTCCAATGTTCGAGTCACTGCTTCCTAATTAAATATGAATACTACTTTGTAACGTGAATTAGCCTTTGTGGTATAATGGGACAGATTTTGAAAAGGAAGCTGCAATATAAAAAGCTTTATACTTATTCTCTCTCTGTTTAAGTGTCCTTATCAAAATTGCTGAAATGTTAAGATAAATTGCCATCTTTTTGGTGCAAGGTCAAATTTCTTGTTAAGGGTATATTTGTAGAGATAATGATTATTTTTTGTTTTAAACAGATATAATTTGGGATGTCCCAAAAAAAAAAAAAAAGAAATGCTGGCACTTAACGGGGACAGAATTTTGTACCCAAGTGGCCTAGTCTGACCATGCTTATCCTATATACTTGGGTGGAAGGTGGTTATTTTGGGTTTTCACTTGAATATGGTTATTTAACTGTTTTATAAGTTGAGTTAGCTGACCAAAGTTACACTAGGGTTAAAATCAATATTTATGTTTACCATGCGGATATCTGGATGTTTCTTTTTATAAAACCTTGGAGTCGTTTGAAATTGGATTCCAAAATTATTTAGGCAATGACTGGGGAAAGGAAATAATGAAGGCCATGCTCATTGACTAGTGCTAACAGAAAAATACTGTGTGTGCAATAAATCTATTAGAATGTGTACTGACTGGAGGCATGATTAATGACATTGGGTTCTCTTTTTTGTATTCTCCAGCCAAAAGGTGAGGATTTGAATATTAAAAGGGATGATCTTGCTAGAGCATTAATGGTATGTAATACTTTTGTTTAGACTTCTTCTGTCTTTACAGGTTATATACTTAGTCTTTTGTCCAGAGTTGGGTTATTCATTGTTTATAAATGCTGTCACGTACTTTTGGCTGCCAGTTGGAAGAAATATACACAAATTGTTAAAGTCATCTTGTACTTGTTGCTATTAATCCTTTTCCAGACATGGAGCTCAAAGTCTGAAGAAAGATACATTAATGTATTCGCTTTGCTTTACCAGAAATATGTTGTATACCTCTGTCTTTTTCTTTGTTCTTCCTCCTTCCTCATGCTCATTTATGTTCTTCAAAAATGTCGATGAGCTTAGATTTCCTTCTTCTTAGTGACTCCATTTTGAGCGACCTTGTGGTCAGTTCATGAAACATGAATTTATTGGAACAGTCAGGAGGAGCTTGGAAAATGATGTACTCTTAAGGGTTCTTTCTCTCCATTTGTTTACTACACTTTGATCTCTTCCGTATGCACAATTTTCAGCAGTCATTTTTTTTTCTAATTTTCTAATTCCTGTATTGAAAATACAGTTTACTTCTTTTATTTCTTAGTTGATTTGAAACCATGTAAATAGTAGAAAAAAACATATGGAAACACAAGAATGTGGTTGAAACTTGTTTTAGAATTTTGGATCAGACCAGTATTGTTGAATAGAGAAGTATTCTTAAAATTTCTAGTAGTTTAAGCTGTATGAAAGTTTCAGCCGGAAAACAGAAAAGATTGTTTATTATTAGCAGTACAATAAGAATGGTTTGCCACTGAAGTAATAAATGATTTGTTACAAGATGTGTACATCTGCATATCATGTTGTAAAATTTCTGAAATGGACATCAATCTTGAATCCACAGATTTGCTAAAATCTGCATATATGGCTGTTAGGGAGGTTGGGAATTGGAATTGACCTTTTTTTCATAACATTATTGCTTTAATATGTTACATGCATGATCTCTTTATTTGTTATTCTTGCAGCTAGCATTTTCGTCCACACCTCTTTTTGAGCCATTTGCCATTCCATTGCTCCTTGAGAAACTTTCTTCTTCACTTCCATCAGCCAAGGTCAGTGCACATGAAATAGGGATTTGTTGTTTGGAGCTATTTCAATGATCATAATCTTCATTTATGGGCTATAGGAGTGTCTCTTCAAATGTCAAATCTATTGAACGCCAAGTGTGCTTGTTCGCAGGTTGATTCTTTGAGGTATCTCAGTGATTGCACAGTGAAGTATGGAGCAGACAGAATGGCAAAACATGGTGAAGCTCTTTGGTCTTCATTAAAAGATGCAGTATTTACTTCACTTGACAGTGTACTATCATTTACTCCAGAAACCCTTGAAGGTTTATGCCTTCCAGAAAATGAAATTGCAGCAGAAGCTCTAAGTCTTCTACAGAAGCTTATTGTGCAAAATACAAACTTGTTTTTAGATTTAATTGTTGTTGATGAAGATATAAACATGATCTTCAATATGATCTCTAGTTATAAGAGTTACCATGGAATTCCTGCACAGAGCAAGCAGAGATTGCATGCAGTTGTTTGTATCCTTTCCACTTCTGTTAAGGCTTCGACAGCATCATGCAATAGAGTTTTTGAATGTTTCTTCAGCCGATTGATGGATATTCTGGGTCTCTGTGTTAGAAATTCTTCTGGAAATTTATCTCCAGATGACAGCATTATGATTCCCGAAAGATATAATCATGGAGCTCTTTATCTCAGCATTGAGCTTCTTTCAGCATGCAGAGATTTAATTGCTAGTTCTGAAACAATCATAGCAGCATCTGCTCGTACAGAAGAAACATGGAGCTATTTGCTTCAAAGCTTTTTGCCTTCACTTACAAAGGCCTTCTGCTCTGCCTCCATTTGCACTAGTGAAGATAGTCATGATGCAGACATGTACTTTGGAGGTGAATACTTTTGTCTTGCAATGTAGTTGATATGTTTTCTGTGTTTATCTTCAATCTTCAGCCCAGCCATGCATACTAGTTTGTTCATGGTCCCTCTGATGTAATTGTGGATATTACATTTTGTCAATCCTGTCTGTCTTTTAGCCTGTGGGGATTAGTAAAGCCGCTGACTTTTATCTTTGATATGAGCGGAAGTTATCTTATAGCTTGAAACGCTAAAGTTTGCTTTTACTGAAGTTGACTTGTCCCCTTCAATTATATGACTCTCTCCCTCTCTCTACACGCATCCACAGACAGACACACTCTACAGATATTAGAAAAAAGTTTATCATATGATTTAATGTAAACCATCTAAAATGTTTTAATGGAATTGAATGGTTATACTTTTCTGGTTCAGGTGCACCTTTCAGCCCCCTTTTCACTTTAATCAGTAAATTCAAAACCATTGATTTGTTTTGTTTTTGTTTTGATTCAACATGTAGTGAAGGGGTTGCTGATTTTGGCTACCTTCCCTGAAGGCTATTTGCTGATATCGAAGCCTGTGTTTGAGAAGATCTTAACGACATTTGTATCGATTGTCACAGTGGATTACAGCAACACATTGTTATGGAAACTGGCACTGAAAGCCCTAGTGCAGATTGGCTCATTTATTGAAAAATGCCATGAATCTGAGAAGGAACCAAGCTATTTGGGACTTGTCGTTGAAAAAATTGTTTCATTGTCCTCTCTTGGAGATTTTAGCATACCATTTCCACTGAGATTGGAAGCACTCTCCGAAATTGGGACAAGTGGAAAAAGTTATATGCTTAAAGTTGTTGAAGGGCTGGAAGAAGCTATATATGCCAATTTATCTGAGGTTTATGTATGTATGGCCAATTAATTCTTTTTTCATTAAATAGAATAATTATCATGTGAAAAGATCATCAAATATCCTCATTGAGGAAGATGATGGTTCATCATCTTTAATTTTTCTTTTTGCTGGTACTATTTGGATAGGTCATGACTTTTCACTGTGCTTAACACGACCAACTCTGTGCAATAACAAGAAGTTATAAACCTTCCTTGATAGATTTCTAGGGGCTTTTCTTTTAACTTATAAAATCAATTGCCTCTTGTTTGATTGTATGATGATAATTCGGTGTCGCATTCTGTTTGCTTAGGTCCATGGAAGTTCAAATTCAGCAGAAATTGTAACTCAAGTTTTGAAATGCTACTCTGATAAGGTGATTCCATGGTATATAACCCTACCCCAAATGTTCTTGTTCCTTTTATTTATTTATTTGGGGGTGGGCAATTGGGGAGTGCTTTCTTTCTTCTCCCTCATCCCCATTCTCCTTTTATTAATACAAAATTATTGTTGTCATGGATGCAGGATACATTGTGCAAATGGTTTTGAAGAAGTTCCGTTGCAATTCGCCATTCATATTTGGAACCAAATTGAGAATAGCATGGTGTTCAATGCTACTCAAACCAACAAAATAGTAAGTTGTTTGAGTTCTTCAGAGATTTTCTCCCTGGTCCTCTGGAATTATGTGGCACTAAATTTTTATTTTTCTTTTTATTTCAGGAAGTTCTTGATGCGATGATGAAAGCAATGAAACTTGCTGTTGCAAGTTGTTCACAGGAAAACCAAAACATAATAGCACAAAAGAGTTACCATATACTTTCATCAAGCACTTCTTTTCCCCTGAAGGAGCTGTTTCAGCAGGAAAGCTTTCAAATTGTTCAAGTGGATAACAGTTCCAGTAGAGATGAATGGATTCTTTCACTTTTTGCAGCAGTGGTTATAGCAGTTCATCCTGAAACATACGTTCCAAATATAAAACCATTACTTTATCTGTTCATGACAACCCTCCTCAAGGGTAATGTTGCGGCAGCCCAGGCATTGGGCTCTGTGGTTAACAAATTGGGTCTAAAATCTGCTGGAGTACAAACTGATTGTACCTTGGAGGAAGTGATGGATATAATTCTTAACTTGAGTTTATGGATTTTCCAAAGCAATAGCTCATCTGATATTGAAGCAAAAATGGCCAGTGCCCATGACATAAGTTTAATTAATTTATGTAGCAGTATTGGAAGTTGTACCTCCCTTCAAATCCATGCCATTGTTGGGCTTGCATGGATTGGAAAAGGTTTGCTTATGCGAGGCCATGAAAAAGTTAAAGACATAACTATGATCTTTTTGCAGTGCTTACAGCCAAATGGGAGAGCAGAAATCTTGCATCAGGAAGAGGGCATTTCAGAGAATAATAATGAGCTGGATTTGCATCATTCTGTGATGAAACGTGCAGCTGATGCATTTCAAATTCTTATGGGTGACTCTGAAGTGTGTTTGAATCGGGGATTCCATGCAGTAATACGGCCTCTGTATAAGCAACGGTTTTTCTCAACAATGATGCCAATTTTGCAGTCTCTGATTATGAAATCTGAACCACTATCAAGGTATAGATTATCTTTCCTTATTAGTACCTTTTTATTCCTTGGTGTGTGTGTATGTATATATTAGTACCCAATTTCCTTTTTGTCTGATTGTAGTGCTTACTTGAATGATTTATCTCAACATACAAAATAATAAATTGTTGAAGTTGAATTTAATTGTCTTTGCTTATGGTTCTTTCGCAACGTATTGAAAACGCAGCTTTTATTGCATTACTTTGCTGCTTTGTCACATCATAACAACATCTGCGTGCATTTCAATATTCTTTACTTGAGGTATGTAGGTTAAGAATAGTAACTCTGTATTTCTTGGCTATATATATCTTATAAGATACTACCATGTGAAAATCATAAAACGACATTAGTTCAAAAAGTTGTCTTTTCTGGGTTAAATATCAGAAAAGATATTCTGATACGGGAAAGTGTTTGCTTATACCTGGTAAGGCCTGTTTATATTATGTTTCTACAAACAGTGAGACTGTAATGAGGCAAATCATTGTTGCGATGCTGTCAATTGTTTAAGCATAACATTATTAGTTTAGTTATTATTGCAATCATTTAGTAATAAATCACATTATATCAGAAGGGAAAGGTAAAAGCATTACCAAACCGTAATAAAGACTTTACTGTATCAATAAAATCAAATAAAACCAGAGAGGAAGAAAAAATTGACAGCATATATTCAATTAATGTTAGATTTTTATTGCTGTTCTGACTGGCTGGGTCTACATCCTTATCCTTTTTCCTCTTTCATTGTATTGATTTGATCAAACATGAACTAGCTGTTTTTTGAGCTACTTAACTTCAGGGCAGCATGTTTCTTAGGCACTGCTGACATAATTGAATTGATTGACCACCAGACTTGTGAGAAATGTTTATTGGTAAATTGGGATTGATTTTTCACTAAACTGCAAATTTCAGATCTTTGCTGCTTCGGGCTTCTGCACATATTATTATAGACACTCCACTAATTGTTGTCTTGAGTGATGCGAAGAAGGTTAATATTGAAATTTCTTACACTTTCTGCAATAGATTAAGCCTTTCTCAGATATTTTAGACACTTGGAGAAAGCTATTACACTAACCCAAAATTTATTTATGTAGATAATTCCAATGGTGCTGGATGGTTTATCTGCATTAAGCAATGATATTCTGGATAAAGATGTTATTTATGGTCTCCTGCTAGTCTTGTCTGGAATATTGATGGATAAAAATGGTGAGCCTAATTGTACATTGGTAGATTGTTATTATCTGATAGAACTTTCTCTTCTGTACATGCATTTTGAGTCTTTTACGCAGATTTATTTACTCCTTAAAGGTTTTCATGTATTGTGAGAAGATAGAAGGTAAAGAGATTTCATACATTGAATAGTTGTAGAACATCTTAATGTCAACAACTAAATATATGTTCTTACAAATCACTTGTCTCTGCTTGGGTGCCACTTCATTTCTAGTTTCTTTAATTTTGCAGTTAAGCAAATTGCCAAAAATTGCAAAAACATATTTGGTAAAAAAGAGCAAATAGCTGAAAAAAAAAAACTTTACCAGAATGGTTGTAAATAAATGGAAACTGTTTTTTTGTCATCCATGAGAGAAACTTGTTGATTCTTCAAAACTACATTTTTGCTTTTATATCAAACTTTTACCTTTTACTATTGTATCTATATAATATTCTTTCATTTACTTTCAAAAACCAAAAATGGTCAGAAGTGCCAACCTAGGTTATCTTATTTTGGGTTGTTGTGCATTCTCAGCAACACATTATTGCTTCTCTAGGTTTACTGTAGAAAACATTTGAATTGTCTGCCAGAAACATGTCTGTTGTTAGGTGGCTTCCAATGAAGGTTGCCAGAATATAATTTCAAAGCCATCAAACCTGGTTCTATCATCTGATATACAATTATTGTATTGTACTATTACATTATCATTTTACATTCACAGTGACTCTCCGCTCGAGTTTTCTACTGATGTTTATAAATATTGTGTATGCATACAGGTCAAGACGCTGTTTCAGATAGTGCACACACTATCACCAATCGTCTCATTGAACTTATTCAATACCCTCATATGATGGTAATAGATACCTTTCCAAGGAGAATGAATGTATTTGTTTAGCTTCTTGTGCACTTAAGCAGATTGTTATTTTATGAAATAGCATTCTGGCAATGGTCAATCTCTCTGCCTCCTCTCCCACCTGCCACCACCTTCTCCTCCAACCCAAAGAAAAGGGGGAAAAGAAAAGACAACAATCATCATTTCATATTTACCTAACATAACTGTATTTCATTTCCAGTTGATCCATATACCAATATCTAACGGTGGTATTTGAAATTATTTTTTTTCTCTTTTGGCATCTTAAGCTTGTTCGTGAGACAGCTATTCAGTGTCTTGTTGCCGTTTCTGGGCTATCCCATGCGAGGATTTATCCCATGAGAACACAGGTAGTCAACCATGGAGAACATTTGCTTTTCTGGAATATTTTACTACCTCATTTTGGCTGCAAGATGTTTCTTTAGAATGCACCAGGGCCAGACAAATATGAGTTCTTGGTCCTGGATTATATTTGCTGAGCTATCATCAAGTCTTTGTTTCTGTTATTTTTTGGATGCTTGTGTTTGCATTTAAATTTGTATCTTCATTGTTCACAGGTGCTACGAGCTATAGCAAAGGCTCTTGATGATCCAAAGAGAGCTGTTCGTCAAGAAGCTGTTAGATGCAGACAAGCATGGTCAGTATTTTACATTTGTATTTATCTTCAGTGTGCAACAACTGCTTGCATGCGTATTTTTTCAGTTTTATAGTTGATGTGCATCACGGATGGTTTCACTCATTTATTAAACAGGGCATCAATTGCATCAAGAAGTCTTCATATCTAACATCACGAGTTTGCTTCGCTTCCGAGGCTAGCCAGGTGCAGTAAATATTGCTACAGATTCTTAAGTGATCATTTGTCATAGTAAAAGAAGTGTAAATTACTATTTAACGCTTCCATTTGTAAATATTTTTTCAAAGTGACTACAATTTCTATTTAACAAAAGAAATGAGTGCCAAGAGGTGATCTTATTCTATTTCAACAAGGACGAGAGGGGATAATTAAATGCTTGTTCTGTTTAGCGAGCACAGAAAGAAGCAAAATGAAACATATTTGTCTGGACGGCTTCAGTTCAAGAAACATGATCTAATCAGATTTGTTAAATAAAACCTACCTAGTAAATAATAAAAAAAGTGCTGTTATAGTTCTTGCATGGAATGGAAGAGGTGGTTTTTGCTGCTATCGGTATCTGGCTATTTTGGTTTTTAACTCTAGCTGTATTATACTCTACTAGCAGGGGGCTTTTCTTTGAATGATCTTAAGTGCTGTTTGTAATGGCTTTAGTAAATAAAACCTCAAATAACAAAATTGCTCGTTGATCACTTACATTGTTGTGCAAAAATGAATGTGTTGTACGGTCATGTTAATAGGATCCAGATGGGCGCATGGTGGCACCTTCATGGATTCAAAAGTTACAGAACAGGCTACGTACCGGTAAACTCTAGCAGCCTACTTGCAAAACTTTGAGTTTGTCCATCAAAAGTGGCAATGATGATACAACAACGGCTAGAATGCACGACGCAACGTCTTTGGGAAAAATACAGACTATTCTGAGGACGTTCCACGTGAAAACAGCATTTCTAACTTACATTTGCCCCATCTCTTTATACAATAATATCACTCTTTCGCCTCTTTATAGTGTTCCCAGGAAAGCAAAAAAAAAAATACCTATATCTGAACTGAATTTAACTAGAATCCAAAAACAAATAATACTATATATTTTGGAATACAAATATGGGGGATATCGCACTATCTTGATTTATTTGCTTGGAAATAAATCTAGTCAGTCAGTGCCCAACAGCTGCAAAACTCCTCAAAACTTCTAAAATGGTTATCGCTATTTATACATGCACCAATCATTCAGACAAGTCATCCTCAGCTCCACTATACTGATCAACATCATGGTGTCGTGCAAGCTTGTGTGATCTTCCGAGACCATCTTCAGCATCTAGCCTTCCTATCTTTGAGCTTGACATACCGCCCCTTGAGCTGGAATAAACCTGATTGCATACCAGAAAGAAAAAAAAAAAGATGTTTAAGAATTAAAATCCAGTACACTCATGGTGCAAACTCCCATAGCTCGGCTTCATGACCTTACCTCTGCCTCTTTCAGTTCTATTGCAGCAACAGTTGATCTCCTCCTTACAGTTATTCTAGCAGGTATAGGAAAATGTTCAATCTCATCACCAGTTCTTCCCTCTCTGGCCCTCTTTTTTCGTAAATTAAGCTTTGTGGGAAGAGGCTGCAACATGAGAAGAGTGCCTTAATGTCAGAGAGTAATCAACAGAATTTCCGCCAAAACTGGATTTTCAAAGATGTAAATTTTGCTCATGTGTATACCACATAGCGAGCTTCTCCTTCATCAAATGAAACAAGGTATGTTGTTGGGTCATTTGCATCATCACCCCGTACCTGTAAAGTGGTCAGAAATATTTTTGAGCAACTTAAGTGCTAACTCCATCTTGTGCAAAGTAACATTACAAAAATCAAATTACGTACATCCCAATTGTATTCGCGAACCCAAGAATATGAGACATCTTCATGCTCATCATACATACCCTTCGACAGCTGTCACCATTAAAAATGAAAATTAAAATGACAAAGCAATTCACTGAGAATCAACATATCGAAAGTTAGGCCGTATGCAGCAAAAGCTGCAGTGCTGATACATATATATAATATGTGGAATGCAAGGCATTTCTACCTCATCAAGAGAAGGCACCATGTATGCCAAAAATTTCTCTGGATTAGCCGGATCTGAGGTTGCTGCCAGATAACTTTTCATAATGGCCTGCAATTAAAAAAAGAATAAAAATCAATCTCACACAAACTCAATATATAGGTATCATTAGCAACTGTGTCCCATTGTTCCTTAGTGAATTTATATGAGCCTTTCTTTCTCGTTCTAAACAATACCATAACATTCCAGTTATTGCCTAAAATAAAATTGCAGAATAACTATGATCATTACTTGAATAAAAGCAGCAGAAATGCTATCAACTATTTGCAGCATATTCATTGACATCATAAGGGCCCTGAGGCTGCATGGGAATTAATAAAAAAAAAAAGAAGCATCTATGCACTAAAAAAATTGTCTACTTAAGAAAAATTACAGGTTCCATAGAAATCTCCGGGCCAGTAAAAAGATTCCTGAAACATTTCAGGCATATATCACATTAACTTTTATTTTATTTTATCATAAATAATAACTTAATTATGCAGTACATTCTTTTAATCTTATTCTACTAATCTTCCAGATTACAGGATTTACACTTACCATAATGCTAAGATACCCAAAAACTAAGGTAATCCTTCTGGTATGTCTCAGAATATTAACTAATTTTATAGCAGAATACACAAGTAATGCTCTGCATGGATGCAATAAAACCATATGTTGACTCACCCTTGATTCATGCTCATCACGAACAGAATCATCCAGCTTGCTGAAGATTTCTGAGTCAGCTGTAGGAGCACCATCAAATGCCACCATAACGAACTGATCATTATACCTGGTTAAACCAAATCAAAAACAACAAATATTAGTATGCTGTAACACTGCACAATAACCAACGATTGAATTCTAAAATTTTTGTACTCTAATAAACACTAGTATCCCAAGAAATCCTCACTATCTCGTGATTCTAGATCAACTAACTCTTCTAGAGCAAGCTTCACATTCTAACGCAAATTCTAAAGCAACAATAGCAAATGATTGAACTCTAAAAGTTTTATAATCCAATAAAAACTCATATTCTAGAACAAGCTTCATGCCTATTCATGATCAACTAATGCACAGGGACACTGATAGATTAAACATACAATGTGCACAGTCAAGATTTTCTCCATGCATGAGAGCGTGAAAAGAAAATAAAAGCAAAAGCGTAAAGCACCAACTAATTTCGTACCGATCAAAATCAGGTAAGAGGGGCATAACTTCAACAGGCTCCAAGTTTTTGTTGGTTGCGTGAACAGGATGTAACTTGGATGCCTCAAATGATGCCTCAATTTCTTTAATTTGTCTTTCCCTGATATAAAATTGCCAACATTACCATTCAAGACGCACACTAAGTCGAAGTAGACAAGTCTCTCAGAAATCTGCTTCTAATAAAAATTTCTTTTCACAGAGGGAGGTTGGAATAAAACAAACCTATTGTTAAGGTTCTCCAAAATATTGCGGCCTCCCTTAAGTTCTCGCAGTTCTTTTGCTTGCTTTTCAGTTAAAGACTGCAAGTGCCAACGTATTTAGCTTCGACACCGCTTTTGATAAAATTTGTCAAGAACCTCAAATATGAACAGGGTAGTTAGCAATTACCTGTTTTGTTGATTCCGTACTAAGTGGGGATATGTACTGTGTTTTAACCAGCCAAGAAACACCTTTGTCAGTGGGTCTTTCTTTTCGTCTTATACCATCTTTCTTTATAGGGGTTACAGCTTCATCATCACGCAAGAGTTCTGCATCTTCTGGGGCAAGAGATGGTCTAACACTAGGAGGACTAATTAAACAAAAAGAAAACAGATAATTAAAACCATGGCATATAAATCCAAGGTCTAAGAGAGAGTTTTAGGGCACTGAAATATGATACTTGTATACACTGAGGTCAAGCAGGTCCAGTGGTATCCCAAGATCTGGCTCAACAAAAAGTTTAGGCTTGTACATTTTCTCCAGAGAAGTGATGGTGTATTTTGTAAACCTGCAAGGATGAAGTGCATATTAACATGAAATTTTTGACATCGAGACCAAAAACTAAAACCAGCTTATAAGTTCAAACTTTCACAAGTCCGATAATATTTTTCTTCAGAAGCAAAAGAAGAATAACACAGCAGTAACATCATTAAAGGGAAATATTAAAAAAAGCAAGTATATGCATCCAATCAAACAGCCAATAATAAATTGGATCTTGGATTTTCAAAGGAGAAGGTACATAGTAATCTTTCTTTAAAGCAAAAAGGCTGGTTCATACCGATCTTTATCTTTCTTCAAAGCCATGAGTTTGGGCTGTGCACTTGGATCAGGGAGTTCATTTCGGAATCTACAGAATATAAGAGTTTATCATTATTGGAAGTAAACATATATATATATATACCATACTCAAAATGAATTACAACAAATCTAAATGCAAGGAACAGTGGAAAGACACATTTGAAAGTAATTCACTTCCCATTGCTCATAAAACTTCTTCTGCTATAATATGCATGAGTTCTATAACATCTTAAGTGAAGAAGGGTGATATCTGATAATTTTCAAGTTAATCTACAATCCACCAACCTACTTGTTCCAAAGTATGCAACAATAAGAGAGATATCCAGCACTGATTACTCTATCAAACTCCATATATTTTACAGACCTGTAACACCCTCACCCCCAAGTCTTTTGCCATAAATGATTTTCATCCTTAAATCAGAAGGCCAAAAAGAAAAATGGAGAAAGCTTCCACTAGGGACAAGAGACAACATCATTCAACCTAAACTATATAAAAAAAAGTTAAGAAGATAAACATGAAAATTTAAAAAGTTTAATACCTAAATTTGATGTTGCCTAAGAACCAAAATGAAAGTATAAATTGGAAAGAAACAGCATTTCAACATACTCACTTCAACTTGCACAAAAATGTAGTTGGCTTCTTTAACCTATTCTCAATCCTCTCACCACTCAAGAACGGTGTAGCCCTCCTATCTCCCATCCGTGACCCTACCATAGAACCATGCCCTTTCCCAGAAGGCATCATCTGGGTCTTCTGGGACTCCTTCATCTGCTGCCTATGCTTCTCCTCTTGCCTTGCCTTGCTTCTCAAAATCCTCTTTTTCCTGAACCTTCTCTCCTCCTCTGTCTCCACCTTCCCGCAGGTCCGTTCGGCTTCTTCACAGGAGGCATCATCGGCTTCTGATCTCTAACTCCAGCCGCATGATTGGAATGCCATGTTCACGTCTTCCAGACCCCAAAAAATCCCTATTCCCTCCTTTACTGCGCTCACTTAACCCCTTATCCCCAACACTTTCCTTTGAGGAGGTGGCGGTGGAGGTGAACTCGGGGAGGTGGCGGAGGATTTCAGAACCCGGAGAACTCGGGGGAGGAGGTGGGGAGGTGGCTGCACTGGCTGCATTGCTGGATTACCATACTGTGATGGATACTGTGAAGGTGGACAGTACATTGGAGGCTGCGAGTTGATCGCATTTTGCGGCATTGTAGGCAAAGGAGGAGGAGGGAGGTGGATAGGAAGAATCCGGAGGCGGAGGAGGAGGAGGGGGATAAGTATATTGCTGTTGTGTAGGTGGAGGAGGTGTGGGTGTTGTTGTTGGGGCGGTCTTGAAGGAGGTAATGGTATTAGAATTCGGATTCATTTGATTGTAATTTTGACCATAATGTTGTTGTTGGGATGGAAGGGGGTTTTGATTTTGAGGTGGTGGAGGAGGGAATGATTGTGGAGGGAATGGCCTATATGAGGCCATTCTTTCTGTTTCTTATTTTCTTGATCACAGTATCAAAAACAGAGATAAACCAATACGAACCCCAGAAAAAGGACAGTACAAGAGAAAAGTTGAGATTCTGAACCCAGGGTTCCTTTTTCTCCCAATTGGAAACCGTTGAACTGGGTACTCACTCAAATTGGAAATTTTCAACTTTTTGTTTTAAAACCTGATCAATAAAAACCCCGACAGCAACAAGAATTCAAAGTTTTGATATCCCAATCTCCAAAATTCAGCTGAAGTAGCCAACCTAGAGCAAAATCAACCGCCAATTTTTGAATTTTACCGGTCAAGCAAAAATTAATTAAAAAAAAACGTTGAAGAAGCTAAACAGAGCAAGGAATTGAGTTCCCAATACCTGAAACCCTAATAAAGAAATAGAGAGTGAATGGAATCTAACCCTAAAGAAAAGAATGCCAAAATATCTCCAACATATATATTTGAAAAAAAAGCACTAATGGAGAGAAAATCCGAACTACAAATTCCTCAAAACAACTTAAAATGAAAAAGGGCAAGGCTAAGTGGAGATGGAATGTACAGAAACCCTAGGCGAGAGACAGAGAGAGCGAAAGAGGGGAAACCCCCAAAAACTTTGATGAGAGAAATTTTGGGATCAAAAAGCCCTAGATTGAGTAGATTTGAAAGATTTCCAAAAATTTACAAAAGCGCATTGATATATGTATATATACAACTACAAGTGAAAAAATAGAGTGACTAACCGGAAAAAGCTTGTCGGAACGATAGGGAGGTGAGTTTGCCCGTTTTATTCGGCTGACTCAGATTTGGATTTTCTTTCCTTTTTTTTTTTTTCTGCATATTTAGTAGTAATATGCGCATATATATATATATATATATATATATTAGTTTTTGAAAATAAAAATAAACTTATTTTTATTAGAAGTAAACAATTTACATTTTTAATGGTTTCTTATACATGAAATGTTTTTTATATTAACTTATAACTATGGCTTTATATATAGTATAGAAGAAGTGGCACTTTCTTCTCTCCCATATAATATATTTTTTTAATTTAATTTCAATTTCAAAAATTTTTTAAAAAATATTTTAATATTTATTTTTTACTTTATTTAAATTTTTTGTTATATTTATATATATACGATAGTGTAACACGTAAATAAAAATAAAAATAGAATAGTTAATGCGGAATGGATTTAATGCTTCTTACTCGAAGAAATAAAAATAAAAATAAAACTGCCTTTCAATCAAACTTAGATATAATTATGTCTAATGAAAATTTGTACAAAAGTGAATAGAATCATAGTGAATTTAACAATAAATAAAGTAGCATGAGTTGTACCTGAGTTACATAATTTATCGTGTGATTAATAAATTAACCCATGTGTCAAAGATAACAAAAAGATTTTTACCATGTCCCATGACTATAGTGGTTAAGTATTTCATGATCATAATATAAGTATCTATTTACATATATATGTATATATATTTATGTGTATAGAACGTCTATACGCATATGTATGTGTCCATTTAAACATGCAATTTCATATTAGTACAATGATGTAGAGCCCAATCTAGTTTGGATTGGGTTTGGGCTCAAGCAGTTTGAGATACGAAGTTAATTAAATGACATATGGTCTCAAATTGTACTTTTTAAATAAAAAAATTATATTTCATTTAATGAATTAAGTGCTGAAGTGCTACTACACAATCTAATGCATAAGTTTTTTTTTTTAAATTAAGAGAATGAGAATTTGAATCTTACTTTTTAAATAAGAAAACTATACATTGATTAATGAATAAAATATTTAACAACGTAATTTGTTTGTGTATAGTATAGATGTTGAGAGGTTGACGCATGAAGTTCCATGTAGGCGAAAATGATGTGAGTTGATCACCATTAATAACCCCAAGTGTACTTCTAAAACTTATTTGTCATATGAGAATAGCTTTTTTGCATTGGATAAAATCTTGTAGTAGTGTTCTTTAGTGATTGTCATACTTCCTCTCCTGTCCCTTCAATGGCGCCTCTTAGAATGGACACATACCAGTGTATTGATAAGCAAAGAGACTAACTTAGCATTTCATTCACGAAACTTAATCTAATTATACATGGCTTACAAGCAAACTCTAAGAGGCCTAGAAACCTAATGTGGTGAATTTTGGGCAGACAAACAGAAAAAAAATTCACCAAGCACAATGTTTCTTGCCACACTGCAGTCATTCCTGCATTCTGCAATGGAGTTTTCTTATTATTTGCGGCGACATGCGGTCTCCGCTGGGCCAGCTTGTCTTGCCAGCTGAACATTTGGATAATCATAAATGGAAAAATTAGTAGGAGTTAAAATTTAGCTGACAACTTAAATACAATTTCTTTTACTTGAGGTGGGAAAAGAAAAATAAGGCACCTGAAAATAAGCTTCGAGCTTCCTTTTCAATGTGTCATATTCTCTCTTCAGTTGTTGGAAAGCCCTCGTGCATCTGCTTGCAATCATGCACATATTATAAGACTCCTACTTTTAAAGTATATGTAGCTTTATATATATTTTACCTCTATGCATTTGAAGTTGTTTTATACTTGATTTATAAATACTCAAGCAGGAAGCTTGATTTTCATGAAGGCCCAAACTTGATCTGGGCTGTTGATATATATATTGGATAGATTGGGATGAGAAGAAATTTTCATGGGGGGCAGAATGGATTACCCTTCAGCATTTCCAGACTTGCAATATTCCCTAAACAGTGTGCTCTCAGCTTTCACCTTTTTGGCTCCAATGCTGCAACCAATCAAAAAGAATGAAAGACATAATTGGTTGTGTTAAAGCCAGCATAGAATATACTAGATGTTACCTATAATAAGTCTTATTATACAGGATTGTGACTCATTTTCACATACTTCATTTTCTTTTTCATAAAATAAAAAAAAATTATATATAGTAGTATGTAATTACCTTGAACTGCTTCCTTTAAACTGATGCATTAAGCCATCCAACTTATTAAAATCAAAAGGCTTCCTCTCCCTGAAGAGCACAGCAAGCAAAAAAAATTAATTACTACTAAGAAATAATCATCTGTGTCTTCATTGTCCTCACATTTTATTGTTATAATATTAAGTTGTAGAAACTTGAACTTACAGTGCCTGCTCTAAGTTGAGGATTATTCTGGCTGAATCGCGGTAGTACAAGGTGACAACTTCTTCCACGAAATTTGGGTTAGCATCATCCTGGAGTTCCTCCAACTGGATGAATTGCTCATCAAGATATCCCTGCAACGATCCAATACTTTGTTTCACTATAGCCACAGAAATAACTTTGAAGATGCAGCAAATATATAGGAATTTACATGTGCATGCAGACGCATCTCTTTACTTTAGTGGAGTGTGGTGGAATCAGAAGATTTAACTCAGATTACCTTAATCGAAACTTGTAGATGAATTTTGCAAAAGCATTTCCAGGTGAATTTTTTCCACCCTCTGGGAAACAGTACTAAAGTAAATGTATGCTTCTTATGCATTCATTGGTCATTTGATGGGATCCTGAATATTGCTTTTGAAAACTTTTCTGTGTGCGTGTGATGCTTATTGTCTTTGCAATTGTTAAGGAGGGAAACAAACCTGATCAAAGAGGGATTGCCTCATGATTGCAAGCTGCCTACGCATGGGGTTTCTCTCCATTGGGAAAGCAGGTGAAAATGAAGAGCAGAAGAGGGGGGAAAGAATTAGGGAGGAGAAAACTTGGAGGAGGTTTGAGTGATACTGCTATAGAAAGGGCCAAGAAGAGGTTTATATAGGAGAGAAATCCATTCACCCGCCCAGCCAAAAAAAGAAGAAAAAAAAGTTAAAAAGGTGCAACAACTCAGGAACAGTGGAAGGACAAAAGGGTGCTGGAAATGTATGTGGACATAAGTTGGTTTGAAGGAGCTAGAAAATGGAGATTTTAGTATCTGTGCAATGTGGGTTTCATTATGATTGGGGCCTGCTATTCTGATTCTGTTCTAAAATGAAAATATCACATTTGTTAGTCGATTTTTTTATAAAATCAACTGTTGAACCATGAATTAAAAAGAAAAGAAAAGAAAAAGTCTTTTCAGATTCTTTAATACCCCCAACCTAATTCTCAGTCACATAGATGTCAGCCTTTCATGTCCTTAATTTATACATCCTCGGTGATTCTGTGAAAACCAATAATAACAGTGAAGAGCTATACGTGCATATCTTTAAGGTAACAAAAGATTACTAAGCCCAGGGCTACCATACCATTCATTTTGTGGTTAGGCTTTGGTGTATGTATTTTTACATGAAAGGAGGTGTGAAATACAGGTTTCCAAATGATTGAAAATGCATAGTATTTCTATGATTCTTCACATTGTTGCAGATACTATATAGTATGTCTAGATCATTTGATGAGATGTCAGTTTCACCAATCAATTTCTTTATTCATTCCAGTTTATTATCATTCACTATTATTGTGACACGTTTGTGTATTATCATTTTTTCCTTCTAAAAGATGTTAGGTTTTTTTTTTTTTTCTTTTTTTCCCCTTTTAATAAGTTTTGCAAACCTATGTACTAGCTCTTATGGTTTACAAGATATATACTAAAATTGGACTTCACATGAGCATATGTTTCCTATTCATAAATTCAATGAAACTATCCATCATTCTCACTCAAATGCACTTGCATCAAATTGATAAATTGCTACTCATTCCAAAGGAAAACATAGTTAGCATAGTGAAGAAGCTGAAATTGAATGCACTAGGTATTCTTTCCTTTAATTAGGGGTGTTATTGTTTTGCTGCTTTCACTAAGGTGAAGAATGTGCTAAAGTCTAAACAATGGTTTTCCAAAAGAGCAATAAACGGCCAAAACAAGTGACTAGCATATGCCATGTTGAGCTTCCTTTTGTGTATGCTTTGGCCACAAATTGGCAACAAAAACAGATTTTCAGTGGGCATCAACAAGACAAAGAATTTATACTGAATAATTAAGGCTAAACTTTTAATTAGTTGACAAAGTATAATCAGGCTAAAGCCGAAGTTTGGATTTTTCCAATGTTGCTCAAACTCTATCATCACGTTGCATTATGGTTTGATACTTGGCAGGAAGATTATTATAGAAAAATATCTTGCTTACTTTACCATGCTACTTACATTCAATCACTTTACTTGGGCTTCAGAATAGCAAGATTGGTAGAAAATGGAAAGACGGAAAGCCAGCGTAACAAATCCAAAAGCGGGGACAGCAGACTTGAGTTGTTCGATTCTAAGCCGAAGATCATGTACGGCCGCCCTATTTTTAACCATTAAGTTTCTAATCAATTTCTAATCAATCGTAAATTCTCCAAATTCTCTTATTATAAAAGGAATAAAAAATAATCCTGTCATGCAACTCCTTTTCCTAAATGACAACAAACTAAGAATTGGGTGGAGCCAGTCATCGCAATACCTAATTGATGATATGTACACAATCCATAAACGTGGCATCTTTTCTTCTCCTTTGTTTTTAATAAACAAATAAATTTTTATTTTTTTAATTTACAGTCCTAATTTATTAAAAACAAATGTGTGTATATATATAATATAATCAATTTAAATTTTAAAACTATCTATTTGATATAAGGTTATTTATAATTTTGATTCGATCACAGACATGTTATTTTTTATTTTGAAATCTTTTGATTATTTATTAAAAATAAATAAATTATTTGTAATAAATTTTTATTAATTAAATTTAAAAATATAAATATTTAAATATTTAATTTATTAATTAATATATAATTTTTTAAAAAAAATTAAATCACTTTTTTTTTTAAATTTAAAAATAAAAAAAATACAAATGAAGCGTGCTGAAGGCTATAATATGCCAAATTGTTGCGACAGATTCATTGCCTGCCGTAAAACAAAGAAGGGAATCTCAAATGGATCCACCATTGATTTGATATGAATACAGGTCAGGGCTGCCAATCAATGGACCCAATTAAATTTTGGGAGTACTTTTTTCTTCAGCTGAGATGCCCCACTGCAAAAGTCAGCCCTCCTCTCCCCAACCCAACCCCACGCCCCCCTTTCACAAATTTTCAGGGCTCACGTATATTTAGGCATCTCATGTCCACGTGTCATGATACGACAACAGATTATTTAAAGACGTTAAATCTTTAAATTATTTAAATATTTTTTAATTTTTTATTACCTTTAAATAATTAATTTTTATAATTAATAATTGTCTTTAATCTAAATAATATTTGTTATTTTTATATCACTTGTTATTGATATAATATATTAATAAAATCATATAAGATATTGATGTAATATGATTATGTAATTTTATAATAATTTTATTTTTTTTATATTGATGACATATTAATATCATGTGAATGTAAAAATAACTTTTAGTATAATTTTTTTTTTAATTTTTGTGATTATGAAATGGATCATTTCAAGTAATTGATTAGGATAATAAAATCTTGTATGATTAAGAATAAGTTGTCATTAGTCATTAAGAAGGTGCACAATATGAAAAAAAGCTGATATGATGATGAAAACTGAAGATTCTGGGTGGTGTGAAACAATGAGTTGGCATTCGAGAATGTTTAAAACACTTTAAAACTTTTGGTGAACTGTAAAGGACATTTAATGTGGGAAAAAGGTTTAAAGTGAAAACCAATGATTTAAGTATGCATTTGAAGATCGGATAGAGAATTTAAATATGCTACATCTCAATTTAATTGGGCAACCTAGAGCTAGGGAAGAAGGATTCTCTTATAGTATCAGCATAAAAAGTGCTTAATAGTGACGGAACCATAAAAAAGAAGGTACCCTTCAACCAGAAGGGCCATAGGCTGCAGATTTCTTAAGCTACATAGGATCATATCATAGCATTCTGCTATAATTACTAGCTTTATTTTTGTTGCAGATTATACTTGTTTCAATGAAGAAATTATATGAGTTTTGTTATAATGGTGAGATTTGATGGGTGGAGAATAACAATATGAGGGCACACCAACAAGAAGAGCATCAGCTTGAGTTTCTAAAAGAGGAAAATAAATCATCGATAAAGACACAGAAATCCCAACAATGATTGACACAAAAGAACTTTATATACTCTCCATGCAATGGTCCTTATCATGTCTTTCTCCCTCCCTGCAAAATCGAGCAACATGTAGAAAGAGGAGAGAAGAAGTGATTGGGAAGAGATTCTGCCTTTATTCCTCTACCACCCCCCAAGTGAGAAGAGAAAACTACTGCCTTCCCCTCTCCCCACTCTGTGTCATGTTTTTCTTTTGGGAATGTCTGGTCACATCTGCTCCTTTGTTAAAGGAGTTAAAAGCTGTGAGGGGGTGTTGGTGGAGTCGGATCAGAATATGATTTTGTGTTTTTCTTTCTGGGCATCAATTTTGATTCTATGTCCTATCACTATCTCCCATGTTGATAAGAACCCCACCCTGGAAGCTGATCAAATCCCGAGCTGCTACTATTAAGTTTGATTGCCTGTGTATCAAAGTTCTTTCTCCTCAAACTAAAAAAGGAAAAACAGTTGCATCAGCAAACCACCAGTTACAGTTTAGTCTGGTCTGGTTCCAGCCAAAGCATTGAGGACTAAGATTTATACTCTATTAGGCTACGGAGTTATTCTAGAATTCATTAAATGTTAGTTATAGCTTAGTGCCTAAAGTATTTTGATGGTTGTATTAAAAATCTGACATAAGGGAGAGGATTTCCACCATTGTACAGTGCAGCTCCAAGTTGCTTTAGTTGAGTTCGGTTCTACGGCTTATGTTCAGGCATTATATTTCAAATTTTTCAATGCTCAAATCTGGTTTTTCTTTTTCTCTTGCCGATACAAGAGCAGAGTATTAAGGCTCCAAGTTTGATTTCTACTTGAATCCAATCTAAACCACCATATTTTCCATGTTTTATACAATAATAATTGCTGTAACTATCAATATATTTTAATCATGAATGACTGATAACTTGCTTGAACTGACCCTTTACCAAGATCTTTATGAAAGCATAGACAAACATGTCATCCTTTGCTTATTTCTTTTCTAGAAGATATTTATTAATTCCATTTCTGTTACCACCAAGAAGGAAAAATATTGAAGACAAGATAAAAATTTTGACAGTACTGTTACCCAAGGGCAAGAGAACATTCTAATTATATGAGAATCTGTAAAGAACAGAATTCTTCTGGTAAATTATATTGATCCAAAATACCTTATGGCTTCCCATGAAGGAAGGTATGGGAAAAGGTCACTTCTAGATGTGCCTTGTCTGAAACAATCTATCAACAGCAAATTCAGATCCAGGCAGTTTTCCATGCTGATACAAGAAAAAATGTTTCTGTGTCCACATTGTCACAGATATAGTCTGATAATAGTTTATTAGTTATGGCCGAGACATGACCTAATATTAGCCACACTTTACTTCCATAAGGGAGCCTTCTTTTCTAACTAAACTATAAAAGAGTACGTTATTTTGCTAGAGCTATGTACTTGTGAAGGGAAATTTTCTTCTTATGAATTAACTGGAAACCCACCAAAGCTCCTACATTGTTTTGCATGAAGGTAAACAGAAAAGGGCTAATTGTTTCTTTTAGCTTTCGTCTTGTTTTCATTTTGTTGAATAATTAAGTTCAATTTTGAGTGTCCCCAGGGATTGATCTAAGATTGACATACACAACACATACACACGCCCACATGCACACGCACACACGAAACGCACAAAAAGTGAGGTCAGGGATTGATCTCGGATTGACACACACACATGCACGCACACATGCACACGCACAACATACACACCAACTAACCAAAAGATTTAGCAGCTAAGTTGTAGTTGGCAGCCATGACTTACGGTCAAAACTTTTAAATATATCGCATTGTTACGGTACATAAAAATATAAATATTTTAAATAAATAAATCTATTATAAATTTATTGTAAAGAAAGAGAAAGGAATGAACTCATGCACACACAAAATCAAACTAGGTTTTGAAAAAATTCATATTTCGAATTCAAATAAAATCACACCTCAACCTTCTTAATGTATTCAATTTTTATTTTCTCGTTTATACAAAAAATACGGGAAATTAAGAAGAAATGGCTATTGCTGAAAAATAAAAGCTGGCATCTCAATGACAAGAAAGGAACATGTGTCTGCATGACAATGCCTGGAATTAGATGGCAACATTGCCACGTTAAAGGAATTAGCTGTTCGCCGTTAAAGCTGTCTGGAAAAATATACCCTTTTTTTCCTTCTTCAAGAATGTGCTTAAGGGAATAATCCTAACTTGTGGGCATTGATGCAATCATACAGAAGTTAGCTTTAAGGTTGCTTTCTCACTAACCTTTTCATAGATATTCTTCCTCCAGCATCAATTCTGCTCATCTTCATAAGAATCTCTCTATTAAATTGCTGGGTAGCAAATTATTGAAAGTAGCAATCCTCCCACTACAGGCTATAGCTTTTTTAGGCTCCGTCTGCCAAAATTTTATCCAAATGAACTGAATGAGACATGATGATCCTCGGTTCAAACCTGAAAAAAATAAGATAGAAAAAAGGAAAAGGAAGAATCGAATGATGGGTAGAGCCACCGAATTACTGATGATAGCACATCAGTCTACACGTTCAAAAGAATAAACCATGGTGCTGCCAAGTGGCTAACGCTAAAGCCATATTTTTCCCTGCTGCCAGCAAATGTAGGAGTTCTTCACTTTGACGTTTTCCCAGATGTAACTATTGAAATGATATGAAGGCGTCTGCTTGCGTTGGGGAAGTTATCCGATGTGGCCCTACCATGGTCCAAGGGTTTGAGTTCAAATCTTGCCTTCACCAGGGTTGGGTTGCGTTGCAGGGGTTAGGGGGAAGGGGGAAGGGCCGCTTCCTGTGGTCGCCTACGCCTAATCACTTTCAAACGCCACCCACCCATTGAGAACCTTGCATCAAATGTAACTGGAGATTTTTAGCTGTCACGCTGAGCATTTCAGGTTCAGTTGCTTTATGTTGTTTCCTAATTCCTTATCTTTGCTTGTCTTAGGTCGAGACAAGTAATTCTCCCTAGTGCCATTGATGCACAAACACTTCCAGGAGAAAGGAAGTGAAAAGATAATAAGCTGATGAGACAAAAGAGCTTAGACTTAATGCTTGCTAAGGCTACTTTCTATATCTAGAACAAATGTGAAGGCATAAATCTATAATGGATGAAAAGAAAGGACAATTATATCCTATCCTTTTTTCAACTGTGCTCAACAGTCAACACCGCTTAATTAAAGAAGCATGGTTCCTAGTTTCGCAAACCATTCTACAACGGTATTCCTTTTCTCTTTCTATGTTTTTGTTTCACGTCCCTTTGACTACAACTGAGCATAATGTAATACTCAGGAACAGTAACATAAAGGTGCATAATGAAGGCGAACAAGGCAAAATACTTGGAAGGTTTTCTCCTTGCCTCCTTCTCCAGCTCTACGCGGGAAGGAGGTTGCCTTGAAACTTTAAAAAAGGAAAGAATTTGTGGTCTGCATGTTTATGTGCAAAAAAGTAACTGAAACTGTGGATCTTGTGCTACTCCATTATCAGATAGCAAAGGAAGATTATATTATATCTGGTTTTCTGGCTATTTGCTGTTTCATGCAATTTATAATTGAAGGGCTGGTCACCGGATGGATAAGAATTTGCGAGGGGGAGTGAAGGTGTATAGAGAATGAGACCTCCTTGTTCCACAAGTACCTGGAAGAAGGTTCTTCAATCATTTGTTGAAAAAAGAAATAGTGGGGGGGAAGACTGTTAGACGCTTTGGTCAACCAAAAAAATCATAAAAAATGCAATCATCTATGAGCAGATCATTTTGAAACTAAAACTTTACAAAAGCATGCCATTAAATCTTCCATTGAGAAGGCCAATGTATAGTCCTGATAAGAAAAGCTAAATTGTCATTGAAAGTCATTTACTAGAACATAGGCAGGTATACAGGCCTTAAGTTTCTCAGGTTAGAAACCACTTTGTCATTTACAACTCTGTATCTTCATCATCTTCAACATCAGTGGTCTTCTCCTTTTCCTTTCTTCACAAGTTCACATCCCTGTCATAAGAAGTAATAACCTTAACAACCTTCTTAAGGATTCATTTGGTTTAAATATACCACGGTGATATTAAAGCAAGGATTCTAATCATCTTCAGAAAGCATGTAAAATCCCCAAGAAGACTATGCAATAGTCTTTTCTGGAAATGCTAAACTCTAGGCTTCTGCAACTATCTAAATCAAATTTCATTGTCTAATATCGTTAGTAAAAAGCCCCTCCTCCCCGCTGCTCCACAAGTGTCCCTTTTTTTGTATGTTGCCTCATGTTTGTGGTAGCAACTGGAATTATGTATGTCCCCCCACAAACAAGCATCAATTATCATGTACAAAGCCCATCTATGCCTGACCCTAGCTGACTCTGGTAAGAGCCTCAACAGCAATGGTAGCAATAGTGAAATAAAACTTGACTATGAATCTCATCCCAAAAGAAGGGAATTATGCAGTGGCACAGTCTAAGCAACTCATTAAAAAAGATATTAAGATTGGTACCTTTTGATAACATATATGATATACAATAACAAAAACAGAGTCCAGTGACCTAGATATTTAACACTCAGTCAGGGAAAGCCTTTTAACATTCTGAATGTTAATTTTAACAGTGATAAATAGGATTAATACAGGGTCTCCTTCATAATATATGAATTACTCCATATGGCAATTCGCAATCCGTTAACCATCATTTAACTTGAACCAATGTGCATTAAATTACTGATGCAGGTAGCAAAAGCTCCAAAAATATGATAACAAGAATTAGAGGCTAGGGCAAAGACAGAAGCTAGCAGTAGGACATTCAAACAATAATGAGAATTGTTCAACAAACAAAATATGCAAGTATTTTCATGGAATAAGCTGCCAAAAGAAGTTGTTGGTAACAAAGAGTGAAAGACTGCAGCAAGCATCAGACCATCCAATATAAGGCAAAATAATTTGGGTAATAGGAAAAAACAGTGTACTTGTCCTATATGCTGCCAATTGATTTTGCAACCTTCTTCACTCATGGAAAAGAATAACTTAGTTTATCATAATATACTAGATAAGAGTTGTAACAAGGAAGTAATGTATAATCCATAACACAAAAAATTATGACCAATTACCTCCTAACTGGTAGAAATGAAGGTAAGGGTATTGAGAGAGAAAACAAGTACCTTTTAAAGCTTTTTTGGCATCTTTTCCTCAGATTTTTCAGGTCAACAACAATGACAGAGATGTTATCATAACTACATGCATCAAGAGCTTGCTTAAGAACCTGCTGAGAAACAAACCAAGCAGGTGGAAATGTACTGTCATTGACCCCAACTAGCCTCCGTTGCTGTCTTAATTCTTTGCGAGCTAACTTTACGACCACTTCATTGGATAAAACATCCCAAAGGCCATCACTTGCCAAAATCAAACATTCATCTTCTTCAGTCCTAGTCATGAAAGTAACTTCAGGCACTGAAATTACCCATGGTTTCAGGTCATGGTCACCTGAAAGTCGCACCATGCAAAGTAATAATGTAATAATTATACATACAATCAATCAAAGGAAGTATGATATTCTCCACATGCAGCTAAAATAGTAAGAACTTAGTACCTAACATAGTTTCAAAGCTTTGAGTTGTGAAATTCTAGGTCAACCAGAATTTAAGTGAGGGGGGAAAGAGACAATGCATTATTATTTGATAACAGAAACTGTAACATACAACTTCGTAGATACATATAAAATCATCTGACTTAATTCTGCAATTCTTCTTGAAAACCATTTGGTAGACGAAAGTTGACAGCTTTATGAAGTAAAGCAAGAAACATAACTGTGCTACAAAATATATCAGATGACTTTGGAATGTGCTCTGTTTTTATTGGATAAAAGTCATCCAATAGATAAAAGTACCATAAATTGGCTGAAATAGTCTATTCTATATCTAAAAGGAAACACAAGAAAGTGGTGTTTATGGTAAGATAAAAATATACAGGTTTTACAATCTAATGATTTGCTTGTTTGAGACAGGTGAGTTCAATTTTCCCTAAGATTTTCCTTATATTTGGAGGGACATGCCTTAGATACGTGCCCACTTTGAGGTGTTGGATACATACTTCGCACAGATACTAGATGAAAACTTAGAGTAGGAGCAACATAGGATTTGCCATAGTGCTGCTGGCCTACTTGCAGATAGGTTCTACAGTGTGTCTCCAGTTTTTTATTCTTGGACATGTAAACAAAACCTGAGTAGCTATAACATTTGAATGAATTTCAGCAAACACAAAATGAAAAAATAAATCACTAACATGAATAAAAGTTGTATGGCAATCCTCTCACTCATGCCATGGAAATGAAGAAATAATTCGGTGGTGTAGAAGCAAAAGTACCTATTGCTCTTGACATGGAAAGAACTCCCTCCACCCTTAAACAGCCCCAGTTGAGAATTCTACCTCCGCTACTAGTGATCCTTTCTAACTCATCTGCTCGGTCAAGCTGCAAAAAGACAGGTCCACATTTTCAGCAAAGTCCCTAAAAGAGAAAGGAGGAAGCAGGAAACAATGCACAGATTTGCACTTTACAGTGAAGCATGTGTGTGCTTGTCAGATATACACAAGAGACAGCAATAACATATCCATCAGCTGATGAGATATTTGGGCCATACTTTTGGATACTACGACAAACAAAAGACAGCTTAATTATTGTAAAGCCTGTAGTAGCTTATGATAAATCCTAAAAGTACTCCTCTTTTATTCAAAAGTAGGAATGTGTTTGATACTTATGATGAACCATGCAAGTAGATCTAATTTATTCACAAAAAGAAAAATGTTCTTGACACAATATTTGATGTGAAAAAGCACAAAGTGAAATGCCTGTTGACACAAAGTATATATCAATTCTTACATGTGAATATTAAACACACATCAATTGGTCCATATATCAGTGCTAATGGTTGAGACAACCAGATAAAAAGGACAACTTCAAAGCAAACAGTGAATGGAACTTTCCAATCATCATTCTGAAAGGAAGAACATAAAACCCTTTTCCTTTCACAGGGTCGGGAGAAAAAGCACAAAGTGAAATGCCAGTTGACACAACAAGTGAAGTATATATCAACTCTAAAGTGAATATTAACCACATCAATAGGTGCATGTATAAGTGCTAGTGGTAGAGACAGCCAGATAAAAAGGTGCCTTCAAAAGCAACAATTAATAGGATTCTCTAATCCTCCTTCTGAAAGGAAGAATGTAAAATCCATTTTCCTTTCTGCAGGGTAAGGAGATTGGATCATTAATCTAAGCCATTAGAAAAACACTTGGCTGATAAATAATTTACTTCTTGATCTTCAACCACTCCAGTCACCAAGAATGCTCCTAATCAATGCAATGGCAATTGTAATTTGTTTATCTCTAGACTTGAAAACAGCAGCAGGTTAGAAAGAATCTTAGAGTGTTCAGGATTGGGCCATAAGGTATTACAACACAAAGATTGCCTAAATAAAAAGACAATAACCAAAATGAAAAAACATGAAGGAAGAAGATAAAAAAATGAAAGACCGTAGTTTTGGAACAAGTGTAAATAGATAGAAGAAACTGAATAACAGAGAGAAACCTTGTGGTCAACTGTTAATGGGATTGCTTGTGTCCCACGACAAAGCACAGCCCTGGAGTCACCACAATTAGCAGCAATTATCTGGCAGGCAGAGATAAACACTACCAAAGCAGTTGATCCAACAGACTTGGGTGCTAATGCCTCATCTTTGAAGGCGTTATCAGCCCTCTCAAACGCCTTGCACAGCGCAACCTCCCACCTCTTATTCCATCCATCTAAACTGCTTCCTCTTTCCCACTCCTCTGCCACAATTTCACAAAGTTCATTTGCACAATAGCTACTCACCTGCAAATTACCATCCAAATGAGAAAAACCACATCAATATGATTTTCTTTACATCTATTGGCCATGAGTGTCAGGTGATGAGCATTTTCTTGTTCGACCACGCAACACTTGTTTAACAACTATACTACACCATCATATTTGAGTTTGCCTCATCCTCTCCTTTTTACAAAATAACATACTTTATGTTAAATATGCTTGATCCAGAGGATATATACAGTAATATCATCGAAGCTTAGGTTTTTCAGCAATTGACCCATCATTTTGAGCCATGCTAGTCCACAGCTCTTAATGGTCTCCTTTACCTTCAATTATAATGTGTGAATAGAAGCCTAGCTAAATATATATATCAACATCACCACTATCACCTTAAACTTCAGTGACTCTACAAAATGATCCATAGACAAACAATTTTTTCAGTAGTTAATCCATCGTTTCGAGCCTTGCCAGTCCACTGCTCTTAATGGTCCCCTTTACCTTCAATGATAATGTGTGAATATAAGCCTAGCTAAATATACATATATCAACATCACCACTACCACTTTAAACTTCAGTGGCTCTACAAAATGATGTATAGACAAACAATGTTTTTCAGTAATTGACCCATCATTTCAAGCCTTGCCAGTTCACTGCTCTTAATGGTCCCCTTTACCTTCAATGATAATGTGTGAATAGAAGCCTAGCTATATATATATCAACAACACCACTATCACTTTAAACTTCAGTGACTCTACAAAATGATCTAGACAAACAATATTGTGCCATCTGCATGAGGTAGAAACTATATGCACAGGTCAAAATGAAAATAAGAGCAACTTAGTAGCACATGGCAATTTTTGTAATCAGAAGCACTACTTCACAAATTAGTAATCCTAACTAGTCTGCCAAAGATCTCAATAAATATTCATATTGCACTAATATTTGCTATGAAATCATAGAGTTGGAACATTTAAAATTACTGATCAAAAACACAAAATATGGAACAAAAGCTGGAAATATCAAAATGTTTTAGTTAGTTTCCATTCTCAGTGCCTGATCGAATATGGCATATGAAGACAGGAAAACTCAAGCAATGAAGCCTTTAAGCATTCAATGCCGTACGCTATCAGAAAAATGGTGTAGATTATCTTTCTGTTATCCTTTTCGACAACTTTAGAAGACCATTATCATATGTGGTCTTACTCTGAAATCTTGGTTAATTTAAAAAGCAAATTGGAACTCAGAATAAGACCTAGAAAAAGATTAAGAAAACATATAATGTGGATAAAAGGTGAAACTCTATCAATTTCCAAACAGTGACAAATTGCATTCAATGCCTTTAAGCTTTCAATGCTGTACACTATCAGGGAAATGGTGTAGATGATCTTTCCCTTACCTTTTTCAACAACTTTAGAAGACTATTATCATATGTGGTCTTACTCTGAAATCTTGATTAATTTAAAAAGCAAATTGGAACTCAGAATAAGACCTAGAAAAAGATTATGAAAACATATAACGTGGATACAAGGTGACAGTCTATCAATTTCCAAACAGTGACAAATTGCATTCAATGCCTCTACCATTGAATGCCTTACACTATCAGAAAAATGGTGCAGATGATCTTTCTGTTATCTTTTTTAACTACTTTAGAAGACCATTATCATATGTGGTCTTACTCTGAAATCTTGATTAATTTAAAAAGCAAATTGGAACTCAGAATAAGACCTAGAAAAGGATAAAGAAAACATATAATGTGGATAAAAGGTGAAATTCTATCAATTTGCAAACAGTGACAAATTGCACCATTTGTTTGTTGATCTCTAATGCAAAAGATTTTACGCAACCCTCAAAAGCATCACCCCAATAAGGCTAATTAATGAGAAAGAAAGTTCATGCAATTGTAAGCATAAGACTATACTCAGCATCTATCTATCTGGGCAAGACTATTGCTTCCATTTTCTATTAAAATAAGGAAAAAAAATGGGGGGTTGGGGGGTGGACTTCAGCCAGAATAGATACAAGGAAAACTGCAAATAGCTTAATTTAATTCAATAAAGTAAGTTAGAAAGAAGCACAAGCAGAAAGAATAGAAAAAAAAAATACAGCGATGAAAGAAAGAACACTACTAAATTATGGAGAGTTATTAAAGGTGCAAAACCTATCAAGATTTCAAAACCTATCAAGATTTCTTTCACATATTGCTAACAAGAATCATAGATAACTTACTAATCCTTTCAAAAAAAAAAAATAGATAACTAACTAAGACCTTTCAGTTATTTTCAATATTGGAAAGTCATCAAACCACTTTCACCAGTGCAAAAAACTTGTCAGTAGCTTCCAGTCTGCTCTACTCCTAAGAGCAACTGAACAAGTGAATTTTCGCCCAAGATTGAAGTAACTTCTAAAGTTACTACTCTCTTAATTATTATGTTCTCTAATATTCTGCTGTATTCAAACACAAACTAGAGCAAAGATATGCATACTTTTAGCATTAAAATAGACATCATGTCTCAAATATCAAATATGAGTTTCCTGTCTGTCTCCACAAACCATATAGACAAGCTATTTCTAATAAGATTAAATTTATAGAACATAAATGAAGAAAGAGAGAATAAAAGAAAGGTAAAATACTCAGAAATAAAAAAAAAGAATAAAGAGAGAATAAAAGATAGGTATAAACACAAAAAAGGGTCAATGTAACTTGACTATACTTACCTTTTTTATTTTGAAAAGCATTTATACTAATCTAAAAGGTCGTAGTTTTTAAATAAATGGTACATGTATGATGCACTATTAATGAATTTAACATCTTCAATAATCAATTAAGTGCAAGGGCTCAATCTCCAATTTGTTCAAGAGGATTAGACAAAAAATGAAATTTATTGCTTCAAAACTACTTCGAATACTTATTGCTTCTAGAAAAGCCTAAAGTACATCTAGGGATCTAAATTTTAATTGAGTTGTATGTGAGCTGCTTGACTTACAGCCAGCTATAAGCTTTAAGAGTTTAATGGGTCAAAAAGAGAGATTATTAGTTTCAAATATATTAACTCTATAAGTTTTAGTTGTTTATAATTTTTTATTTCTTTGGTATATGTACTTTATGACAAGAAGACTGTATGCACTATAACATGCTAATCTCATAATTATTAGACCTTCTCAGAAAGAGATATAAAATTAACGGCAACCTCAAGAAAACCTATTGATAGATTAAACAAGTTTACACAAAATTATCTATTCTAAACATTATTATCTTGAAAAACAAATTGAATTAAAATATACTAATTTCTATATCATCAGAGAATTTATCTGATGTACAACAAATTATACTCATGGTTCATAAAAATTCATGACAATAAAGCTATTTCCCAATAGCTTAAAGATGGACAGTCCTTCAACAATTTCAAATCAAGTTACATATTTTCAATTTCCCTATCCTTCAATACTTAAATGGAATTTAGATCATCATATTTGTTTGTAGAAGAAAAAAATGATCATGATGTTCACATAACTGGAAAGCTTGTGTGACATACATCAGAAAACACCTTCAGTTCAACAAAATCACAACAAAAGGCATTTTAGACATTTTAGACGTGTACAAATAAGGCAACTAATGCTGATCCCAAAAGGCATATAAATTTAGATAATGGTACAAATATAATTACCAGGGATATGTTTTAACTAAAACGTCTATCCTACTATCTTTTCATTACTCACAAACTTTCACCACCATTCAATCTGTCCCTCTTTTACAGTTCATTACCATTCAAAAAACATACCCGTAAAACAAGTGAAAAATTTTCAACTTAAAACTTGTAAGTTACAATCTGACCTAAAAGATAATAGAATCATGTTAATAATTATATGGTAAGATTATAAATAACAAGATTTTAGCCAACCTATCAAATAGTTATTGAGTTGGAATCATATTCTAACTAAAGATGTTGTTAAGTATTGCGCTACGAGAAAATCAGACAAAATTTTCACTAGTCTTTATTTGATAGGTAATATACAGAAGATCTTTAGACACTAACAATGAGCGAAATCCACTATAGCATCATCAAGGAACAAACTTAGACATTTTAATGCAATTAGGACTAAAAAACCAACACAGAAAGATCATATAAAGTAGTGTAATACAAATGAGTAGAAATTTCTAATGAATTCATTCCTTGAATCACAAAAGGGAATTGCACACCAAGTCAAAACGTCATGTTATACCTAAAGTAATATAAATGAAGTAAGGGAACTAGTGGTTGTTTAGTTCTATAGTTCTCGATTGATAACCTAAAATAAATGTGACTGATATAGTATGACATGGTGGAATGCAAGTCCATTTTGGACTCAGAAAGGAATAGGCCATTTTAGTCAAACTGATACTCGTTGAGGCTTCTTTTCTTGCCTTTTAACCCCTCTTTGGGCTGACATTTGCTTTCAGATAAGTATGAAAGAAATGATAAAGAGATTTATGACAACTTTGTAGGGAAATGACTTCTTGACTAAGGACCATTAGGTTAGAGACTTACTTAAGCCATTGGAGATTTTCTTACATACAAATAAATAATCATGACTTTGTTTGAAACATAGAATTACTGTATTTGCAATTTCCTTCTTTCTTTTTTTTTTTTTTGAGGGGTACAAAAGAGAGTTAACAAGCCCAAGAATACTGTGCAGGATCGCTACACCCTTCATCCTCTAGCATGCCATAGAATTCCCTCAGAGGGGAAACTAAGACCACTTTCTAAGATAAAATAGTTGGCCCATATTTGCCAGCAGATCAGCACATTTATTACCTTCATGGACAACATGCATAATTATGCAGCTTCAACCTACCTTATGAGGCACTTACAATCTTCTAAAACCCTCCAGTGCATGGTCCTTCCCTAGCCAACCAAAACTTTGAACCTGATTCCACCACAATGGATGTCTGCAAATCCCATGGATAAGCAGTAGACCTTTCTCAAGGCCGTTGTATCCACCAATTACCTATCAACTCTACCACTATCAGCTATAAAACCCTTCAA